GCCATTATTAGAGAGCTGGATCAGAAGTGGAGCAGCAGGGACTCGAATTGGCATCCATATGGGATACTGGCACCACAGGTGGAGGCTTAACTTACTATGCCACAGTACTTGCCCCTGTGACAGGGTTTATAAGAGTGTTTATAATAGTGAAAAATTTAAAACTAGATGTCCATTAATAGAACAGGTAAGGAGCAGGAGTCATGGAGCAGTGGGTTAAGCCACTGTGTGGGACATTGCATTCCATATTGGAGTACAGGTTTGAATCTTGGTTACTCTGCTTCCAATCCAGCTCCCTACTACTGCTCCTGGGTAGCATCAGATGATGACTAAAGCACTTGAGTCTCTGCACTCATGTGGGAAATCCAGATGGAGTTCCTGGCTTCTGGCTTCTGGCTTCTGGTTTCTGTCTAGTCCAGCCCTAGCTGTTGTGCACAATTGAGGAGTGAACCAGTGTCTGGAACACCTCCATCTCTCTCTCTCTCTCTCTCTCTCTCTCTCTCTCTGCATCCCCCACCCAGTCATTCTGCATTTCAAATAAGTACATCTTTTAAAAGTGAAATACATAAATATATTATAATACATTTATTTCATGGAATACTATGCAACTGCTAAAAGAAAAAGACAAACCTACATACAAAGACTTGTGAATATTTCCAAGATACTGCTAGGTAGAAAATAGTAAGTCACAGAACAACACCATATTTTAACTGTTTAAATTAAAAAAAAACTGGAAAGAAAAACACTAATTTGTTGAGAGTCAGTCTTTGATAATGGGGGTAGGTAGTGGGAGTGTGAAGAGGATCTGTCAGTTTTCACTTCATTTTTCTGGCTATTACTTTGAGTTTCTAAAGTGTACTTTCATGAAGTACTGTGTAGCTTAAAAATAAAAATGCTTTCTCTTTATTTTCCTATTCTTTCTCTCTCACCCTCTTCTAGTAAAATTCTCAGTCAGGATGTGAACAGAAAGAAAACAGCAAGGTTTATTGACTTCCGGATCTCACACTTGGGTTCCAGGGTTTAACTATTTATGATTTCCTTCCTGTGCCCTGACACAGTCACTAATTTTAGGCATGCCTTGATGGTTAGAAACAGCATTTTGACTTTTTGCTTGACTTTTTTGAAGTGCTTCTACAACACTATTGCTCAGCTTTGTTTGCTTCCTCTCATAACATTAGGTCAGAAGGGTGTTATTACTATCTCAAACAAACATTTAAGAATAAAATCTCAATATATTGCTGAATGCTAATTATGGGACTTAGATAATGATGTGTATTCTTGAACATAAGCACAAAAGGAATGCATCTTTGGAGATGGAAATTCTGTGTATGAAAGATTAAAGAATGGTTATTTTAAATTAACTTGAAAATGAAATTAGCAAAATTGCGAATAGAGTCCTAACATGACGCATTAATTGAATTTAATGGTGTAATCTTAGCAGTAGGAAAGACACATAATAACAGTCTTAGATTCAAACCTTTGTTGGAGTTCCTGGTAATTTTGCCTTAACTACAGCATCCAAGAACATTGTGCACAACTCATTGCATGAATAAGATTCCAATAATTTTCTATTGGTTTTGTGCTTTTACCCAAGAGAGCTCCATAAATTGTTTTTAATCACTTCTTTTATTTTAAATCAATACCATCTGCCAAGTGGGTAACAATTCGAATTTAAACATAACCTCCTCTAATTGGTGTAATTACTTCATAAAGAGATAAACCATAGCACAATATGGCAATCTTGGGTTTATAAAATCTAATTATATTCACGACACAATATTTTATTCTTAGTGATCTCAAGAAGAACATAAACTTGAACAAATGCAGACACTTATGATGAAGTAATTGGAAAGGAATAAGATAATTATCACATATAGTACTGTAGAGTACTGCCTCTAGTAACAGCCTCTGAGAGAAAGCACCGGTTTACAAAGCCTTAAGGGTACAGGGAGCTTTGGAGTGGGGGGGTTCTGGTCTCCTTAGCCTGAATTTGAAACCTAGTGAGTTCAATCCCAAGGTGGGCCCGGCAGCCAGACCACTTAGGAAGAAGTAGAAAAGCCCCAGTCTTGTACTTTCACTCTGTTCCAAAGGCAGGTGCAGAGAGGGAGAGGGAAGAGGCACAGACAGGAATACCCACCGCCCCCACCTTCATGTCAACAGGAGGTTTGCTCTCATCTGCTTTACAATTTGTGATTCTGCAACACATTGCCTTTAGAAACAATCTGTTACCAGCATTTATTTTTGAAGACCTGTGCCCTATGCCCAGTCATATGTTGATCAAAGGGAGAGGACTCAAATGGCAAAGAAGTTGGGAACACACTACGAGGCCAAAGAGCGAAACAGTCCCAGAGAACCACATCCTAAAACTCATCAGCCTTCTTTATGTTCAACATTATGTCCAGCTCTGGTTTTAAAAACTAAATTTACAAAAAGATAAAGCAAGCGTATGCACACACACAGACATGCATGCACCGACATGAACTGGACTCACTTGTGTGTCTCCCGTTGCTTCCATGTCAGAAAAGGGTTCTTGAAGACCAGGAAGATCCTAGAGCAAGAGGAAACTGGATATTCTAGAAACAGCTTAATTTGTCCAGAATCGCATTTCTTTGTGCTTCCATATCCCTAGGTACTAACTGCCTTTTTGCTATCTTTCTCTCCTCTTCCTCTTTCTGAGTGGTTCATTGAAAGGCTTTGTCTGTCTCTTCCTCCTCCTTCTTAATCCACACTCTTAAGCAGGTTTTGCCCATTTGGGAATCAGCAACTCACAAAGACTGTGAGACTCAGAGAAAGAAAGTTAATAATAGCCCCAAGAGCTAGATGAAAAGATATGTACTTATCCCCAGAGTCTACTGCAAATCCTGGCTTAAAGGAGGAGAAGGTGAGGGCCAGAATGAGTGGGTGGCTGAGAACCACTTGCACAGGACAGAAAGATATAAAGACATTAGCCCCTCCAAAATTTCTCTATAGAAGGGACTTGTCAGTAGCAAGCTGATCCCCATGCAGGCTCCTGGGGTTCAGATGGCAACCTCTGTGTCACTTCCTGGGAGCGGTCTTTCCTGACTACCCATTGTAAAGTGGCCACCTAGTTGCTCCTTAGCACAAAACCCATTTTCCTTCTCTGCATAGCACTTTTTATTACCTGGCATTTTCCTTTATGTCTTTCTGCCTCTCTTCAAAGCTTATCATTAGCCCCTTCCCCAGTAAAATGTAAGCTCCTTGAGGACCATGACTGTCCTCATTTATTCTCTGTCTCTTTTCTCTAGAACACAAGCTCCAAGGTTGCATGTTCTATAACAAGAATGTGCAGGTAAGCGAAACCCACAGCCATGTCAACACCTATAATCCTCAAAGCCCCTTGCATATAGTAGGGGCATTTAGAAGTTCAATAAATCTTTGTCAAATAAAAGAATCATGGGAAGAAAACCTATGCCTCTTTGTCAAAACTGCATTGTAATAAAATAGTTGAAATTATCCCCATGAGTTTTTGAGACAGTGGCAGATATAAGTCAATTCTCAGTCCACTGGGGGCCCTACAAAGGTCAATGGCAAAGATGGAATTGATGTAGGTAAGAAAGTAGCTGTGAAGGAGGACCTGAAGTCACCAGCTCCTCCCTATAGTCCCATCTGCTCTGCTCAAATTCCTCTGACCCTCCCCCTACTTCTACCCCATGCACCAGAAAATAGCAGTTTCCACGAAACTGCTGCTTAGAGCAGGTCCTGCCAAAAATAACCGACACAGCTGCTGGCTGAACCTCCACAATGACCTTTAGCTAATTATAATGTCATCATAATAAAATTACCACGGCTGACACCCCTGCTCCCATCATGCACCTGAGGCCATGACACTTTGAAGTTCACAAAACAGGGCAAGGAGAAATGTTTAGTACTCAAACTCTGCCTCCTATGAGTATTCAGTTATGCCTTGCCCTTGACGCCACATCTATGGCCCCAAATCTTATAAAGGGATGGACCGAAGCTCACTGAGTGCAGCTCACCTTCAGGCACGTCCACGTTCCCTTTTGAGTGTGTACTTTGCTTTGCATGTAAATAAATCTTGTTCCTCTGCTGACCTTTGCCTACATCTTTGTCAATTTTTTTTTCTTGGGCCAGAGACAAGAATTAAACCCAGGCCTCTTGACCAAGCCACCTTATGAAACAATCACAAGTGTCTCCCGCATGCTGAAGAGTGATGTGAGTGAAGAGAAGGTACCAAAGAACAAAAAAGCTCCTTTTCCACTTGTGCGGGCAAGGAGGAGCAGTTTTAAAGGAGGCACTCACTCACTGCCTGGAAAGCATTTGTAGGAGATCAAATAATGCTGTAATCCTTTAAGCTCCACAAAAGCTATTTTGATGAGAAGTGGGTCAGTGAAATGCCTTATTAATATATTCTTCACCTGTCACCAGATAGCTTTATCAGGTTGGTAAATATCAAGATTTGCCTTGTCTCTTGTTACCTCTATCTGAAGTACTATTTGCCTCTTTGCTTCCTTACAGTTCTCCCTTTAGAGGGGAATAAAGCAAAGGGATCTGATAATTTACAAGTCAGGATATTTTACATTGGTATTTCATTAGTGATTAAAACACGCTCTTTTCAGAATATGTAAAGCAAACAAATAGGTACGTATTTTAGGGTGAACAGAACACAATATCACAGCAGGGGATTTTTTTTCTTTACATTGAATATTAATGTTCCATGTTGAAGAAAAATGACTTTAGTAAATTATAAAAAATAAAAGGAGATTTTCCACATAAAAAGATGAATTCTCATGAAATACTAGTGCATTAGACATTAAACAGACTTTGTAGACTAAGTGAACATATGACTTAATCACCTAAATGGGAGATGTGAAAAGGGGCACTCATCAAAATGAACACAAGGGACAGGAACAAAAATCATGGAAAACTAGGCTGTGTAGTTAAACCATTACGGGAATAGTCACTGACACTGAAATTGCTTTTATATTTTTTAATTAAGAAAAGTCAAAACAAAATGGCTTGTACATATGCAAAATACACAGTAGGCAAATAGAATTTTTTTAATTACCTAGTCTATGATATTAAAATTAAACCAGTAAATCCGAGTAAAAGTTGTTATTGTTGACAACTGTTAGAAAAGAAACAGAAATTCGGTGAATTTTTTTCAAACTATACTGGTCATTAAGAAATTTTACAGGACCACAAATTCATCAGACAGATAACTCTGCTATGGATCATTTCTCGAGTTAAAACATGCACTTTGTATTTTAAGGTCACCCCTTTTCAGTATTGAGCTGGTTGGCAGTTTCATCTCCCATCCTTGTCCTTATTGACTGTGGCCATCAAAGACACTGGTTGGGAGGATTCTGAGGTCCTGGTTGAGCTCAGCAGAAAGATATCTGGTGATCAGTTAGTGATGTCTGCAGGAGACATAGTATATGGAGCAAAGGGAGGTAGGGCAAAGACGTGCCATCCCAGATTTGGACAAGGATCTGTGCTAACAATTTCTGATATACATCTACTACATAGTTAATAACAAAAAATAATGACGTGCTGATGACCCTGCATCTACTACTTCTCACAAATGTTATTACAGTGTAAGTAAGACAGCAGTCTCACTATGGGAGGACAATACCATCACTCTTAACTTGAATGAAGACAGCCAATTTATTATTTCCACATTTCACTGTTCTACAACTCTTCTATACCAGAATCACACTCAGGAGAAATCAAACCCCTGATCTTTTCCCTGAATGGAAAGTAGCGGAAAAAATAACCCAGAAAACATGCTAATTAACTGCTCCTCTGTCTTCTACTTATTTTGTTGTTTGGGGCTATATTTTTATCTGATCATGAGAACTTTAAGTGACAAAATGAAAAGTAACCTTGATTCTCCGTTTGCAAGTATATAATAACATTTAAAGAAGTTTTCAGTGTTTAATTTCCTGCCACATATTTTGTATCGCTCATGTTTTTTTAAGATTTTTATTTTATTTATTTGCAAGTCAGAGTTACACAGAGAGAAGGAGACGCAGAAGGAGAGAGAGAGATCTTTCATCCGCTGGTTCACTCCCCAATTGGATGCAACGGCCAGAGCTGCGTCGATCTGACGCCAGGAACCAGGAGCTTATTCCTGATCTCCCACGTGGGTGCAGGGGCCCAAGGACTTGGGCTGTCTTCTACTGCTTTCCAAGGCCATAGCAGAGAGCTGGATCAGAAGTGGAACAGCCGGGTCTCGAACTGGCGCCCATATGGAATGCCAGCACCAGAGCAGGCGGCTTTACCGGCTATGCCACAGCACTGGCCCCGTGTATCTACTTCATACAATGCAGAGAACTGCTCCACCTCTTTCATGGAGGGGCCATAAAGAGGAAACAGCTGATACTTTAAACACAAATATGGTAATGCTGCTTTTCTCCTGACTTCAAAGTATATTCCATCTTTGGATCTGAATTCTCTGATTTTTCAAAATGAGGCCAAATCGAATTTCTATTGAGGAGGAGATTCAATTTCCAGCTGCAAGGTTATGCTCCCATATTGCTTCTGACCACCCAGCTCTACTTTTCCAAGAGTGAAATCCTGTTGAAGTTGCTTTCCAAAATATTTTGTGGAAAGTAAGAATCAGTAGATGGCAATTCCTCATTCATGATCCCCAAACAGGAGACAAATTCGTCAGGCAGAAAGGTCTGTTCCGGAATAGGCTCATTGGGTGCATCATTTTCTAAAAGCGTGCTGGCTCCTCCCTCTACTGAGTTTTGTATGATACATTCCCCTTGGTTTAAAATGAGGCTTAATTCTTCAAGAAGTAGTGTGTTGCTCAGTGAATTCATGCTGGATATAGAAAAAGCAAAATCTGGGTATTTTTTTAACCTTGGGTCCTTTCCCAGGTCTAAGGCATCCACTGGTGCTTCAAGAGTTGAGGAGTCTCTCTTGTCGTGGCTGTTGAGAAAGTGTGAAATCTGGGGCTTATATCCAGTGTTGAGGTCAGGAATATACACGAGTGTAGAACTGTCAGGCAGGGACTTCTGCGGGCAGTCTCTTGTCTCCAGGGAGCCTGTATTCTTTTCCTTCTTAGAGTCTGTAGGCTTGTGTTCTTCTGGGAGAAGGATTTCTCCTATCTCAGTAATCATGGGATCCACATATAGGACTTGTTCACTGGGGTTATGATTCATAAATTCACTTTTATCCTAGGAAAAAACAACATTGTTTAATGTTACCTCCCAAAAAACAACTTTTAAAAGACCAGCTGAGCAATTGAATAAGGGCTGAAATTTTGCTTTCCCTCGACCTTCCTTCCTCCCCACCTTTTCTGAAGTTGTTTGTCTTCCCCTGTGATTTCCTTCTTTTGTCTTTTCGTTATTCTGCTTACTTCCAAATCCTTATTACATTGTCTCATAAGGAGACCAAAGGAAAGGAATAATAAAAATAATCCATGTATTAATCACATCTCTTGGTTAAAAAATTTTAAAGAGAAAGAAGAATCTTGCACATTATTTGAGGGTCTTTCAAAAGTTGGGTTTTTGACTATGTTGGGATATTCTTAATTTTATGGAGCCTATGCCAAGAAAATAGGTTGCTGCTTGAATCAAGGAAAAGGGGGGTAGAAGACTATGTTCCTTGCATATTGAGAATGAGGTTGTGATAAGTGCCTTGTGCTGAGGTTTTAAAGGCACTAAAGCTACTCACAGTTCAAATCTGTCTGTGATGATCAGAATGGGCTGATGACTTTTCTGTCAAGAAATGGACTGGAGGCCTTCCAGCTCGTGGCTGCCCTCCCAGGGCAAATAACTCTCATGCAACATAATTATAAAGTTATCACCACCTGAATGCTATGTCTCCCCTCCAAACTGGTCTGTGGAAGCCAACGGTATGTTATTTGGAGGTGTGGTCCAGGGGAAGTAATTAGGTTGCAGGACTGGCACCTTCATGAGTGAATGGAGTAGGTGAAGAAGAGACGTGGGAGAGACGATCTCTCTTTCTCTCCCTGCAATGTGAGAAAGCAGCCGCCTGCAGGAGAGCCCTTGCCAGGAACGCAGGTGGCCAGCCCCTTGATCTTTGACTTCTCAGCCTCTGAAACTGGGAGATAGAAATGTCTTATTTAAGCCAGTCAGTCTATGGTGTTCTGTTAGGGCTGTCCAAGCAGACTACACCACCATTCCTTAATCTCTTGGGCAGAAAACCACCTCATCAGGAGAAGCCCCAGGGTTCACCTCTAATTCCAGGAGCCCAAACGAAGAAGGGAGTTAGGCAAAGAAGAGGAGTTTGAGTACAGTGGCGTGTGGCGCCATTCAACTTTTCTTTGGGCCCAGCTCCATGGGGGCGGGGGTAGGTCACCAGATTTTGACAGGAACAGCATGTTGGGTGCTGCTTTATCACAAGGTGTGACAGGAGGATGGCTGGAATAATGCCAGAAAGCGACTGGGATCAGATTACAGAGGGTCTTGGGTAGTGGGTCTTAGACTTTGTTCCATTCTGTTGACCAATGGTTCAAACTCAAAAACTTATTTTTAACTCGGATAACCTTTGTTCAGATGATATATGCTGGAGAGAGTGTTGGTTAGTGGGCTCAATGAAGCTTTCAGCAGAACCACTTTTATTTGTTTCACCAAATACCTTGTCTTCCTACCCCACGTGCTGTTTTCACCTCTTTATGCTTGCTCATGCTGTCCCCTCCACTTTGAATGTTCTCTCTTTCCACTAAGCAAGTCCTTCTCATCTTTCATTGTGTTTCTTCTCTACTCCCATTGTATGTCTGGGTTCATTTTTGTCGCTGCACTGCTAACACTACACGGCAATACCTGGATGCTGTGTCTGACCCCTCTGGCCGGGTTGTGAGCTCCTTGTTTACCAAGAAGAGTGCCAGAAAATAGCAGAAACACACATAACGGATGCTTCCCCCACCCCCCCCACCCCTCCCCTGCCAAACTAGCAAAGACCTTATATCCTCAGGGTCTTCCCGATGCATGCTCTTCTCTACTTTGCTGAAATGGAAACCTAGCTCACCCCTGGTGACTCCATCATCCACAGTCTTCTTCCATTAATGTTCTCACACTGCAGGGAGTCTGAAGAATGAAGCGAGGCCCTGCCTGGCCTCCACCTACTGTTCCATCGCATGTAAGACAGAAGTCCCTCTGAGTCTCTGAGGCTCAACCCAGCGAGCTCCTCTTCCTGCCCTCCTTCCTTTGTCTCTGAAGACACCTGCCAATTCTGTCCCAGAATCTTCCCCTAACTTTTCTATTGCACTGACTCTTCTTCCTTCCTTCCTTCCTTCCTTCCTTCCTTCCTTCCTTCTCTCTCTCTCTTTCTCTCTCTCTCTCTCTCGCTCATTTCTTCTCCTATCTCTAGTCTCTCATCTCTGTTAAGCAGGATTTGAAATATGTACAATTTGGTTAGTATAGTTGTTTATGATTATGTTACTATGTCTACACATAGAATGGGGAATTCTAGATTAGTTATTAGATTGTCTCAAATGCCACTGAGGTTTTGTTAGATGGTGTTTAGTTACCTGCAGAATTTTCACAGCATTACTGTTTTCCATATTAGGAATGTCCTCATAAAGCCACTTTGGTATTAGCAATAAGATTCTTCTTTTAATTCTAAAAAACAAAAGTGACATATTAAGAAGGTATCACTTTAGTATTTGGTGCAGGTAATCATATAGGAGATTAGGACGTCAACTAAACTGCAAACCACAATAAAAACCAAGTTTTCTGAAGTGTGAGTAAGGAAATCATCCCAGTAAGGAGATGATGAGGTGGGGAGCAGATGGGAGGTCCAGCGAAAATTTTGTCCTGTAGTTCTGATCTGCCAGCGAACTTCAAAAAGTTAATGGAAAGTGGAATCAAAGGATAATTTTTCTGGTCAAAATAACAAGGAAATTTATGCATATGAGAGGTCTTCAAAAAGTTCCTGAGAGGGGTGGGCATTGTGGCCCAGCAGGTTAAATCAATGCTTGGGACACGTGGATTCTATATGGAGTGCTGATTCCTATCCTGGCTATAGCCTGGATTGTTGTGGGTGTTTGGGCAGTGAACTAACAAAGGAAAGATTCTCTCTCTCTCTCTTGCTCACTCTCGCTTTCGCTGTCACTCTCTCTGCCTTTCAAATACATAAATAAATAAATCTGTTTCAAAAAAAGTATATGAAAAATACATATAAAAACTGTGTAGACTTCAAAGATTTTTTTTGCATAAAAATAAACTTTTAATTCCATTTTCCATAAACTTTGTGAAGGACCTTGCATAGTCTTTTGACTACAATTCTGAAATGCACAGATTTTGGAAAAGAGTTTATGTATGTATGTAATATAATGTATATACTTACTTTCTTGTTGGTTGCGTTAGGCACAGTCACTTGGCAACAAAACTTCACAGGAGGCTTCTTATCATAGCTACTTATCCCATTATGGTAAAAAATCATTCATTATGCATCATTGTAAAAAGTTGTGCACAGGAATAAAAAAAATCGAATTTTCTGATACAGGAAATAAGGTTTCCTCTCAAGAAACTTCAGTGGGAAGCTGATTGAATACCTTTCAGATTTTCCTCCTGTTTCTGTAGGTCTACCTCTTTCTAATGAGCAGCAACACTTCAAAACACTCACACTAGATTCAAGTAACTGGGAGAACCGCTCTGGCAGTGAAACTGTACACATGCTACATTTGGCAAACCACTAGCAGCAGAGTGGGAAAGTCTGAAAAATGTAAAGGATATTTTATAGACTTTTTCAAGGTGACCATAACTACATGGTATTAAAGAGGAGAATGTTATTTAGTGAAATTCTGGAATTCAGGCAATTCTAATTCTGAATTTTGTAATTATTCCAGATAGGGTTGCAATGATAGTGGTACTTCCAAGCTTTTTTTATATGGAGGAAGTAGGAGATGGGTAACTTTGCCTTGCGGTTTTGTGGAACTCTGAAACTGTTTTTTTTTTTTTTTTTTTTAAGATTTATTTATTTATTTGAAAGAGTTACACTGAGACAGAGGACGACACAGAGGAAGAGAGATCTTCCATCTGCTGGTTCACTCCCCAAATGGCCACAGTGGTTGGGGCTGGGCCAAGCAGAAGCCTGGAGCCAGGGGCTTCTTCTAGTTCTTCCAGATGGGTGCAGGGGCTCAAGCACTTGGGCCATCTTCTGCTGCTTTCCCAGGCATATTTGCAGAGAGCTGGATCTGAAGTGGAGCAGCCAGGACCCGAACTGGAGCCCATGTGGGCTGCCAGTGTTGCAGGCGGTGGCTTTACCTGCTATGCCACAAAGCCGGCCCCTGAGGCTGGTTTCTATTTAGAGTGTGCTTATTAAGGATCATTGGAATAGGATGATGCAAAAAAGGGAGAGAAGTTGAAGTGTCCTCTTCCCCCAAGCAGCTCCTCAGAACCAACAGTTTCTGAGTTGACTCTACAAAGTAATTTGAGCAAGAAGGTGGTGCCAGGAACTTAAGAGAGACTAAACTGATCTCAGGCATGTTTCTACATGTTAGCCATAAACCCAGGAACGACGGACCAAACCTGTTTATCTGTTTTACAGGTTCTCTAAGGACTTCCACTAGCAACTGAATGGCTAAATGAACTTCACGAGTCCAATTTGCTCTTGGACTTTAGGGCAAAAATGGTTTCTTTACACATATTTATATAATGGTTTATGATTCAGTTTTTAAAACTAATTCATATTCTCTTACTATATTTACAATTAGACCAAATCAGTAAGTCTATTCTATTGTAGCAAAGTTTTTATATAGCACACTGATACATGGAGGGCACATGTATGTGTATTTACCTGCTCTTGGTTTCATTATGTTTAAAATATTTGTTGTCTAGTCTATTTCTGTTTCTTGTATAAGGCTTTTATAAATAATGTATGGTTATATTAACCATGTCTGCTCATATGTAAATGTCTATATTATCTCTTGTTTCTTTTATCTTTTAAAAGACGTACTTATTTAGATAATAAAATTATCAAAGATTACCTGGCTTCCTTATTTGTTATTACCAGTGGACAAATTTTAGGTTATTCTTAGTAGAAAATTTAACATTACTTACAAGTTCACACTAACCAGGGCATCTTTGGATAATAGCACAAATACTGATATTTTTATGTGTATTAGTTGGAAGTTAAGATAATACAAAGGATTTTATAATCAAATATTTTTTAAAATCTAATGTAAATATAATTCCATATTAGTTTGCCCAACTCACAATGGCATTAGGAACACATTTATTAATGTGTAATTTAAATTCTGAATGTTACAGAAGTTCTGATGAAAAAGCCTACGTAGATAAGAAATCATGAGTATACTTTATTCAGAATAGCTCACTTAAAATCTTCCTACTGCATTTTGATTACAAATTTAAAAGAGAGATGATCTCATGAAGCAAGTGATGGCAAGAAAGAGAAACTCAGTGTGAGTCTGGCAAAGACTGTGCGTATGTGTCAAAATCTGTGACTAATTGGGTATACTGGGAGACTGCCACAAGAAACAACTTGTCTGTTAACAGATGAGAAATCTCCAAGCATCCAGTAAAATGTAGAAACCCAGAGGCCTTGCTTTCCTCAAAGTTTCATTTTCAATAACAAGCCATATTTTTTATTGATACTGATATAGGAAAAATTACACCTGATGGAAGGAGGCCAGGAAGGTGTTGTGGGACTGGATGTTGGATCACCAACCCAATTGGTAACCAAGTGACAAATGCAAACCTGCCTCATGTCTCTGCACACTGATTCAGAGGACTTGTTTGGTAGAGCTCAAGGCAGACCATGACTTAACCACTTTACAGAATCTGCACGCAGTAGATAAACTGGAAGCACAATGAAAAAGGCTGGGTCTTGTCGAAGAGAACGTGAGTTTTGGTTTCAGTTGTGTCTGGACTTCTGGCTTTGTGTTCAGCGACTGCGGGTGGAGGACTCATCCTCTCCCTGAGCCTTGTGTTATCATCTGTAAAATGGGCCACAGAGCTTTTCCGGCAGGGTCACAGTGAGGACTAAATAAATGATTTTTGACCAGAGTCTAGCAGGGATTGATAGTCATCTTACATTGCTGCTTTCATTTTCCTCTTTCTGAATGAAAACGTTCATGGATTTTCCTTGTAAATAACTGAATTGATTACAGTTTGATGGTACATATTTAGTCTAAGTTGGAAAAGAGAAATTCTACAAAAACCTACCCAGTTCGGAGTGTTCTGTTAAATATCCCAATCAAAGAAAGAATTGACAACATTACAGCGAAGAGGATCATTCCCAACAGAAGTCCAGTGTCTTGCCTGCTGTCTAATGGAAGGAAAGCAAAATAATGTTAACTATGCACTAGTGTTCATCATCCTCCCTACTCTGCTCAAAGTGAAAGTCATTGGTCTCAAGGAAAGGGGGAAGAAGGAAGCAAAATTACCCTTTACCTTGGACTGTAAAGTGACTGTTCTTCCGAACTGCACACCTGTACCCCAGGAAACAACTGCTTGTTTGAGAACATCAAGCTGCACATATCTGATGTCAGTGGGTTATCTCCAGCACATGTGGTCAGTTTGTGAGTGCATATTTGATATAAATATTTTCAGTGATGAACCTCATTTGGTTTGTCTGACACAGGGGAGAATTCCCAACTGCCTGTAACAGGATCTAAAGCTGACCACAATCACAACTGAGGTGTTCTTTTTAACTTTTTGTGCACGATAAAATTTACATGCAATGTGTCATCATTCTTCAAAAATTATTGTTCATGAATTTTTTTTCCTGTTAAGAAAGGACATTCACTCTATGTTGAACAATGTGTTATAAAAAAGAAACAACAATTGCCATCTATCTTGCACTCACACTTATTATAAAAACAATGCTTCTCTTGAATTTTGAAGTTGAATCTATTTTCTAAAAAATTTAAGTAATTAATATAATTTATTCAGCAAGTGTTACCCAGCAGGGTCATCACATTTTCTACATGGGCTATGAAAAACCCTATCTTCAAATACCTACGGAAGGTTGTTGAGACATGCCTTACGCATTAGAATTTGGAGACTGAGTAATGACCTTCCTTCCATCCCTCCTGCTCCATCCCTCCTTCCTACAAATATGAATTAGATACTTACCATGTGGCAGACACTGTATAGGCTCCACCCTAGTTAGTCCTCATCTGTGCCTACCGTACACATGTTGGTCTCCAGCCCCTCTTCTAAAGCAAAATGGTGGACAGGGCCTGTGTGGCTTTAGATTACTCCAAAATCACAGTGGGCTATGGAATTAGTGTTTTCCTAGGGCGAAAGACCTACTGCTGAGTATTTGAAACAACAAATGGTGTGGGGGGTGATGTCCAGGCTTACAAACACCCTTGGGCTTTAGTGCCTGGAGGAGGACAGAGCACCCCCAAGTTATCACTGTGCCAGGCAAAGGGATCTAAAGAGTAGAGCAAAGTGACCATGAGCACCCCTTGCCTGGGTTCAAATTGAGCTCTGCCACCTATCAACACTGTGACCCTCCATCATAATTTGAAACTTGCCAAGGCCCAGGTTTTCTGTTCTGTGAGATAGTACAGACCCAATAAAGCTGCCATGAGCTCCTAGCCTCCACAATTCCCACAGAAACATGGAGGTGCAGGTCTGTGTAGGCATCTGGGCTTCAGGGATCCATACAGAACCTAGGCACAGCCCTTGGCTTACAGCTGATTCACATCTACACATTCAAAATGCCCTAACCTCGTTTAATGCTCCTCTGGGACCCATCACCACCACAGTACTTGCTGTCTTCTTCGTGGCTTTCCTCCCCTGTCTGTCTAGCATGGAAGCACCATGCAGACAGGGGCTTGGTTGGTTCATAGTTTACACTGCTGATCCCGCAGTACCTGGGACAGTACCTGGCACATAGGAGTTGTTGAGTGAATATTTATTGAATAAATAAACAAAAAATGCAAAGAATATCAATGTAACCTGAAAAATTCTTGTACTATTCCTGCCTTATTTCTGTGTAAGGAGACAAATGGTCCACTTGTGATTAACGGTGAGATGGTCCTGTCTAAAGTTTTTTTCATTTGGAATTTATATTTGGAGTCTTATTTGCTCCTTGCATACTTGACCTAATATTTTTTCATATCTGAAACATTAAGCTTTGCTCCTCAACAGAAGAACACTCGGTTATACTCACAACATGGGAGCTGGTTTGAATGAGTACAGACTTCAGGATGTAGAACAGGGTTTGATTTTTTGTCTGCCACTTAGCGGCTGTGTGGCTTTGGATAAGTTTCTTAGCTCTGTGAGCTTCGGTTTTCTCATTATAAGATGGATATACAGCACCTCCCTGGCTTGTTTCAAAGATTGAAAAAGGTGATGCATCAAACTCCATCATTTGTCCGTGGTAGACAAATAATGACATTTTAGAAAGAAGTTTTGGGTCTTGAGACACAGCAGCTATTGAAATGAGAAGGTATCCAGTCCGTGGCAAAAGCAGGCATATTCCACCCAACCCACTCTAAACTGAGTTTTAGGCAGATATTTGTAGTTGGTCTATTATTTTCCTGTAGAAAGTGCATAGCACACCTTGTAATCCAGAAACTTGGGTCTGATCTATGATTGTTTAACATGGAGAGTTAAAACGAGTAGTTACTAAAGAGCACCCCAAAAGCCCAAATGGTGTTTTCTTACCAGAAATAAAGTGGTGTTCTTTAAAGGTGGAAGCAACTAGAAGGCCAGAGGTCCGGGTATCGTGGTGGACTGATTCCCGCATGACCTGGGAAACTTAAACAAAAAGAAAAGAGCCTCAGCTTCTCACATTTTACACCTCCTCAGTTAGAGGTGATTAAATTCAACCTGAAACTTTAATCAGCTTGAAAGACAGCATAAAAGCAATGGCTTTGCATGAGTCTCTCTTTTTTATTTAATTGGGTGAATCTCAAAGGAAGACACACAGCAAGGGCAATGAAAAATTACCTAGGGTTTGTAAAACTTGAGGGCGTGTCCCCTAATTTCCCGAAGCTTCCAGGCAACAAATCCCTAGGAACTTTATTTCACTGGAGCCAGAAAAATGCCCAGCGACTACTTTCTACACGATTCCTTCCAACAGATGATGTAATCAAGTTTGAGTTTCCTTAATAGCCTCCAAGATGTGTCACTTTTGCTTTTGTGCAATCTTTGGGGCGCTGCTCAACCTCTCTTGGCTCTGCATAAGAAGCCGGATTTTGATTAGCAGACATTTTGGGGTTGTAACACAGGGGTGGAACGTTAATGACTCCTCTCTGCTGCTTTCCTGCAAAGATCCTGGCCAGCCCTGTCTAGTCATCAAGGCTGTCAGGGCCCTTGCTAATGAAAGCTTCTGACCAGGGTGGGGTGAGCAGCCTTGGCAGCTAACTTACTTTCATTCTGAATTCAAAAGAATCCTGCAGTGGCTTTGCCCAGCTCCTCCCTCCTGATAATTAAAAGCTGCCAGAGGTGACTTCAAGGACACAGTTCTCTTGGCTGACGTGTCTGAAGATGGTTCTCAGGTCTGGATCCCAGAAAATGCTTCAAAGGCTATTTATTCAGTCATTCAAGTTTGGGGGTCCAGATTGTTCTTTTCAAAAAATGACTTTTGCAGCTAGGGAGAGATTGCGACTTTGACGCATCTCTGTCATTGAAATCTCACAGGCTTGTGTGATGAGCCACGAGGTCCGAGGAGCCTGGGACTCTCTGAGAAAAGGATCACACATTTCACAACAAAAAGGTTCCTGTGGGTCACTGGAAAGTTTTGTAAAAGGCTAATTTGGGTGCAGGCATAGGATCACGTGCAGGGTATTTTTCTGAGAACAATTGGTAGAGGATTGTAGAAGATGAAAACATCAGAAACTCCAAAAAATTCTTTCCTATGCTTTTATTCTGGTTTCTCCACAGTGAGTGGAAAAGGGTTCCTGTGAATTGTGATGAATCAGAAACTCTCTTTAGCTTCTCAAATTTCTTTTGCTCCCGGGGTATGTTGTTTCATTAGACCCCGAGGGAATACGGTTATGTCCTCAAGGCCAGGTTTTTTCATCTGAATCAGTACTTTGTAGGCCAATGTTCACTCAGGGAGCTCAAGCAGATGCTACGTTATTTTGAAATTTAAGAATAGAAATAATACATTAAAATGTAACACAGTTTTCAATTTGGCAAAATTATGGGTTTATAGCATATGTTGCTATATTATTTTTGTTTTAACAGATTATTTTTAGGTTAGTAGTTTTATTTAAACTGGATGAATGGTTCTATTGGCTTTTAATGCAGGTTAATGTAATTCTGCTGTATCAACTGCAGGTGGTTATTTGGCAATGAAACTTGGTTCAGTTACTAATTTATACTGTATAAAAATAATTTTTAGATCTGAAATAGGGCTTTAATAGCCGTAAGAAAGAATAAACATAATCTTCCTTTTAGAGTCTGTTATCATAGTTTCAAATCAAACAGGTGCATTAATTTAAATTAGATTAACTAACTCATTTAAAAGAAATGCTTAATTATCACAGGGTAATTTCACAAAGCATCAGATATCTGAAGTAAATCAACTTATGAACAAGATTGTGAAAGAAAAATCAAGTCTATCATGACACTTTTAGCATAGGACTGAAATGAAGCCACACAGAGGATATTCTTCAAGGCATACTGCCACCAAGTGGATAGGTCATTTCTTCTTAAATCATACTTAACACTGCTCACTATAAAAGCAGTAATTATAATAGGGAAATATTTTTAATAGGAAAAATGAAAAGGGGAGAAAAGAACCACACCTAATCGTATCTTCCTTACTTCCATGCTGTTAATATTTTATAGGGTTTTCAAGTATTTTAACAGACAAAAGCATCCACACACGATGATAGAACATACACACACACACACCACACACACACACACACAGAACTTTTACAAACAGCTGTAATCATCAGCATGTTGCCTAAAGTGCTGGAAGAAAGTGCTGGAAAATATTTTAATTATTTATTTGAGGGCTGTGGTATTATGTTCATAGGGGACAATTCTATCTCTCCCCGCAGCAGAGTCTTAAATTATGCCTATTACTATACTATTACTATTACAATTATTACACAGGATATAATTGAATACACTTGAAAAACCAAGTCATTTCTTTTTTTTATAACTTCTTTTTATTTTTTATTTGACAGGTAGAGTCATAGACAGTGAGAGAGAGAGCGACAGAGAGAAAGGTCTTCCTTCCATTGGTTCACTCCCCAAATGGCCGCTATGGAAGGTGCTGTGCCGATCCGAAGCCAGGAGCCAGGTGCTTCCTCCCGGTCTCCCATGCGGATGCAGGGGCCCAAGCACTTGGGCCATCCTCCACTGTACTCCCGGGCCACAGCAGGGAGCTGGCCTGGAAGAGGGGCAACCGGGACAGAACCTGGCGCCCATATGGGATGCTGGCACCGCAGGTGGAGGATTAACCAAGTGAGCCACGGTGCCGGCCCCAAGTCATTTCTAATTTAGGAAAAGTTTTTATGTAGCTTATGCACAGACATTGGACATCAATATTGCAGTAAGCAGTGTGTAGGGAATTTGTAGTGGTTTCAAATAAGAAATGCCATCTCTTATTCTTGACTACACTCTTTGTTTAGTTTAATCAAACCTTGCTTTAGAAATACTGTAATGTTTTACATCTCTCTCTTAGCGATGGTGCCAAGTCATTGCCTCAGCTCTGCTCTCTGTCTACCTTGGGGTAATGTTTTTTGTTATCCTTTCTAAGGAATCAATAATGTGTTCTGATTATGTTCCAGGCAACATACTGTCTCTCAATTAATCATCACAACAACCCAATCATGAAGATAATAATATTGCCCTCATTTCATGGACAAAGAAACATGCGTAGAAAGAATGAATAACTTGTTCCAAGTGCCTGGGTAGACACTGAAGAGTAGAAAATCCCAGGCAGAGCTGACACAGAGGGTGTCCTGATCACCGGCCCCATTAACTAATAACCTCACTTCTGCAGCAGGGCGCTCAGGGTGGGCGGAACAGGCAGGCAAAGGCAGTCCCTCTAGCAGCTGCTCTGGCTTTGCTGGGCTTCAGACCATACCACGACAGGCTGACTGGGATAAGCTATTTAACATTGATTTATTGGATCTTCCATTCCAGTGTTATTTTCTTCTTAAAAGCAATCATTTTCAGTGCCATCCCTGTGGGGTATCAGGTTAAGCCTTTGGGTGCTGGTTTGAGTCCTGGCTGCTCCACTTCTGATCTAGCTCTCTGCCAGTGGTCTGGGAAAGCAGGCGAGGATGGTCCAAGTGCTTGGACCCCTGCACTCATGTGGGAGACCCAGATAGAGCTCCTGGTTACTGGCTTCAGCCTGGCCCAGTTCTGGCCATTGAGGCCATTTGGGGAGAGAACCAGCAGATGGAAGACCTCTCTCTTTTTCTGCCTCTGCCTTTCCTTCTCTGTAACTGTCTTTCAAGTAAATAATTGAATCTTTAAAACAAAACAAAGCAAAACACTCAACTATATTCCTTGATTGTACAAGCAATATATGCTAATTTTAGGATGGTTGAAAAGCTTAGAAATGAAAACACAATTGTTTATTTGTCCACAAACTAGAAGCAATCATTTTTTATGTTTGTTAGCAGTGTTTTTATGGATGTCTGTACCCTAGTGGAGATGATACTCTTTAACAATGTTGTACACTATCTCCTTCACTCAATGTTATATAGCAAACATTTCCTCATTTTATTAAAAATTGTTCAAAGCACCCTACTATCCCATCGTGATTGTATTCTACTCTTTTCCTACTGAGAAAGTATAGGACTTGGTGATTCCAAACACCAACAGTGAACTCAGATGAAATTTAGTCCAAGTTCTGCCTGCACCACTTGGAGTAGCATGGCCCAGGGCTAGTAGCTTAACTTCCCTGTGACTCAGTTTCTTCATTTGTAAAATTGGATAATAGCAGTGCTTCACTGATGAGGTTTGATGAGATAGTTCATAGCAGGCACTTAATACCATATTTGACACAAATTAAAACCTTAATAAGTATCAGCTAATACTGTTGTCAGGCTTTTAGATTGCTTACAAGTTCTTATTTTTTATCACTATTTTTTGATAGATATCATTATATATGAGTTTCCTTTCCGTATCTTTGATTATTTCCTAGGGCTGGATTTCTACAAGCGGGATTACTGGGTCAGAAGGTATCGGCATCTCTAAAGTTCATTTACTTCCGTCCTTCCCAAACTTGTTGGTAAGGGCATACTAACACATGAAGCTTTCTGGACTGCTCTTGCAGAAGATTGTAGATAGTCAAGAAAGAGGAGTCATATTACAAAAGATATAGGGTGTGTTTTTTGAATTATTGAAGGTTTTTTGCCTCTCTCCTATGTTTCTTAAGGCATAAGCATCTCCTTTTTGTTTCTCTGTTTCTCATCTCATTTTCATAAGTCAGTTTTTCATAGCATTTTAGTGATATCTTCTCAAACTGCCATTTCAGATATATGATTGGAATTCAACATTATTAGGCCAAGGGCAAAGATTTGATCCTGGCCCATGTCAATTAGCAAGGTGAAAACAGTCATCACACATATCAGATAGGCACCAGCAGCCCAGGGCAGAGAAAACTATATGTAAGAACAAATTTATTACCACATCTTGCAAAACAAGTCAAACAATGAATCATTTAGTGGATTATGGTGTCATCCATGTAAATTAAGGATGGCAGGGTGTATATAGCATACTCAAGAGATTATCGTCAATCTTCTATTCCTGGGCTGTAAGTACCTGGTGTGTATAGGCAGAAG